TTATAGATCACTTTCAGGAGCTCCTAATGAACTAGAATTGACAGCTGAAGAAACAATGAGAGACCCTTCAACTTGCTCATTGAAAAGCTGAAGGAAGGTCACTCCCGTGGCCTCTCTGGCCAGGCCAGTGACCAACCCTGGTCATTACCCCATCTTAACCAGCAGAGGGCTCTCTTTGCTAATCTTCTATTTTCAAAATAACAACAAAACAACAAATTCCCTGGCTTGCTCATTTTCTTCCTCCCTCAACAGGAACCTCGTTCCAAAGCTAGGGAAATAGGGTCCTACAGGCTCCTGGGAACTTGCTCATATGAACTTACAGCAATGGTGTCAGCATGCACAAGACCCGTGCAAACTCAAGCCAACAACCTAGCATAGAGCTGGGGAAATGGGCGGCAGGCCCCAACCTTAGCCCAAGAACTACTGGGCAGCTGATTACTGCTGGGTGAAGGAGAGTTCTTTAAAGGAATGACTCTAGACAGACTGACTAGACCCCAGCGGATGAACTTGCACTGAGGGATGTCTGGGGACACTAACTTGACTCAATAGACCATAACATAAATGATAGAATGCATGAAATCTAAGTGGGGGGAAGGGGGTGATGGGAGGGTACCAATGGCAAAGGGGGTATAAAGATGATTAAGATGTTTTGTATGAAATACACAAAAATTCAATGAAAAATATATGAGAGAGAGAGAGAGAGAGAGCAGACAGGGCAGCAAAATCCTATAATCACAGCAGTTGGGAGGAGGCCGGGCAGGAGGATCAGAGTTTAAAACCAGCCTGGGGTAACTTAGTGAGACCCTGTTCAAAATTAATAACAACTGCTGGGCGTGGTGGTGCATGTCTGTAGTCCTAGCACTTGGGAGGCAGAGGCAGGCAGATCCCTGTGAGTTCAAGCCTAGCCTGCTCTACATAGTGAGTTCCAGGACAGCTGGGGCTACAAAAAGACCCTGTTTCAAAAAACCAAAAAAAAAAAAAAGAATAATAAAAAGATAAAAAGAAAAAAATTGGAAGACAAAAATGATGGCACATGCCTACAATCCCAGCACTTAGAAGGTCGAGGCAGTAGGATCAGGATTTCACGGCTACACTGGACCCTGTCTCAAAAAAACATAAAAAATAAAAACAAAACAAAATTCTGAGGGCCGGTGAGAAGGATCAGCAAGTAAAAGCAATTGCTGTCAGCCTGACGACCTGAGTTCAATCATACAGTGGAAGGAAAGAACCTATTCTCCAAGTTGTCCTCTGAACTCACAATTGCTGTGGCGCGTGCATGCACTTACATAAATTTTTTCAATGCTGAGCTCTTTTAAGAAAATAATTCTGTTTTCATCAGTAGGCTGTTTGCTTACACAGGCAGAGCAAAACACCAGTTGGACCCTAAAATAGCACAAGCAATGACTTATGACAGTAAAAAGGAACTCAAGCTAAAACCAGTAACTGGGTGGAGTAGTAGTCATGGTGAGGTCTACCTCCTGAGGCCTCTGATTCAGCAAGCTGACTCTAGGCAGGATTTTGTGTGGTTTTTTTTTAAGACAGAGTCTCACTATGCAGCCCTGGCTGGCCTATAACTTCCAATGTAGACCAGGCTGGCCTCAAACTCACAGAGGACACATTTGGGAAGTTGGTTCTCTCCTTCCACCATGTGGGTCATCAGGCAAGTTCTGTTACCCACCGAATCATCTCGCCAGACTGCATTACAGTTCCTTGAACATGGAATCAGAGCTTTCTGGGCCTGTGTATGCCAGGCAAACACAACACTACTGAGCTACATCTCCAGTCCCAGAGCCAGGGTTTCCTTCATGTTTAATAGTCCCACTACTCAAATATTAGAAGAGCTCATTATTGGGTTTTTGTTGGTGGTGTTTAGTTTTGTAGGTTGTTTTTTTATAGTTATTTACTTTTCTTTTTTTTGTGAGGCAAGGTCTCTCTGTAGCCTCAGTTGGCCCGGAACTCACTATGTAGACCAGGCTGGCTCAGTCCCACAGAGATCCTCCTACCTCTGCCTCCCTCTGGAGTACTGGAATTAAAGGCGTGTGCTACCACACTAGACAGTATTTATTTTGTGTGTGTGAGTTTGTGGATATGTGTGTGCCACAGCCACCCAGGTAGAAATCAGAGACAACTTACAATCAGTTCTCTCCTTCCACCATGTGGGTCTTAGGGACTCAAGTCCTCAAGCTTGGTAACAGGTGCCTTTCTTTACCACTGAGCCATCTAGATGGCCCTTTTTTCTTGCTTGCTTTTTTTTTTTTTTTTTTTTTTTTTTTTAGATTTTTTTGAGACAGGGTCTCGTGTAGCTCAAGCTGGCCTCAAACTCAGTGTGTAGCTGAGGCTAACCTCAAACCCTTGATTCTCTTGCCTCAACCTCTGGAGTGCTGGAACTACAGGCATGCTCAAGGCATTTCTTAGAATTCATTTTTCTTCCGTTTTTCTATTTAACAACAGATAACATTACATCCGCAGATGAGTTTAGGAGGGGTGAGATTCATGTTTGGTTTCCAGGGCACAGAAGTGAGGTATAAATATCCCCATTAATGCGGGGATGTCTTAACAAACCACGGAAAGTTGAGCCTATTCCATTTTTTTGCCACATGGGATCTTACTGGTAACATTATTCCCAAACTCATGTTCCTTGATCTTAGGCAGCTGGCATGCCCAGGGATCTGCCTAGGAGAACGGCTCTCTGTCTTAGATGAGTGACTCAGAACACAGTGCTGGGAAAAACCGTTTGAAATTTCAACTTAGCCAACCAGTCTTTAGCTGCCACCCTGCCCTTGGGCTGACCTGAGTTAGATCTCGGAATATCCAGCGAAGGAGGTCACTTTGTCCAATCTTTCCAATTACAGATGAGAAAATTCAACTTCATGATTTCCTGTGGGGACATTAGGCAAGATGACTTATAGGTTCCTTCTGGCTACAGAGCCCTGGGATTCCTGTTTCCTTGTCGGGATCATGCATTCCACTGACACCGATCAAGTTATTTTCCAAGGAAGCTAGGTTCTTCATGTTTGGGCACAAAACACAAACTCATGGGGGTCAAAAGGAAACGATAGTACCACAGTGTAGGCTGGGCAATGAACATTTATGACCTTACTAGAAAAAAAAAAAAAGACCACGTGACTGTATAACTTGATGGCTTAGAGTGGCCAAACATAGCTTCATTTTGTATCCACATTCAAGCCATGCCCAGTTACTTCAACATAACTAGTGGACTATGCTCACGAAGTCCAGTCTGCTGGAAGAGATGGACAAGAAGGCAATCACTACATAGAATTTGGGCAAGCATTCTGAAGGATAAGTGCTGTGAAGAAGCCTCAGAATTTCTGTCTTTGTTGTTGTTTGTTTGTGTTTTGAGACAGGGTCTCCCTGTAGCCCCAGCTGGCCTGGAACTCACTATGTAGACCAGGCTGGTCTTGAACTCACAGAGATCTACCTGCCTCTGCCTCCCAAGTGCTGGGATTAAAGACTTGGGTCACCATTCCTGGCTCAGAATGTCTGTTTTATGCTCCAACAGTTTGATCCCACCCCATACAATAGTGTCCAACTGAGTGGAAGAGTAAGTCTCCAGGCAAGTCTGTGCTCATTAAAAAAACAAAACAAAACAAAACAAAAAAACTAGGATATTTAAAAATCCATTCCTAAGACCAGGCATGGAAGTACACACCTGTGATCCCAGTACTTGGGAGCAGAGGCAAGAGGATCAGGAGTTCAAGGTTATCCTTGGCTACAAAGTGACTATGAGGTCAGCCTGGGCTATATGGGACCTTGTATAATGATTAATATATCAATTGTCAGGATCTAGAATCACTTTGTCTTAGTTTCTTTTTTGTTGCTGTGATAAAATACCCTAACAAAAGCATCAAAAAGCAGGGAGAAATGGTTTGTTTAACTCACAGTTCTAGGTTACAGTCCCTCATTCCAGGGAAGTCACAGTGGCAGGTGCCTGAGAGAGCTGGTCACATCACATCCATAATCAGAAACAGAGAAATGAATGCATGTGTGCTGGTGCTGAAATTGCTTTCTCTACTCTTACAGTTTGGGATCCCTAGCCTAGGGAATGATGCTACCCACAGTGGACTGGTCTTTCCACCTCAATTTAACATAATCAAGATAATTCCTCAGAAGCATGCCTACAGGTCTATCTCCCAGATGATTCTAGATACTATGGACAATAACACTAACCAATGCACACCTAGGAGATACCCTCTGGGCATATTTGTGAAGGAGCTTAAAAGTTAGGGAAATTGAGATGGGAAAGCCCATCATAAATTTAAGTGGCACCATCCCATGGGGGACTAGAGTCCCAGGTAACTGCTCCCTGATTGCAGAAGCAATGTGACCAGCTGCTTCATGCTCCTGCTACCAACTAGCATATTAATATACCTCCTCAGAGGGGTACCGTCCCTGGGTTCCAGTGACTGCCCTGTAGGATCCCATAGCTTTGAAAGGGGGGAATCCCCAGCCACTAACCTAGAAGTGGGGGCTAGGAAAACCATCCTTAGGAAACCACTTTAAAATTGAGAGCTGGAGGCTAAGCAGGAACTAACCACAGGAAAGAAGTCGGGCGGGGGAAGGGGGGGTTCTAGTTGCTTTTCTCCATTGCTGTGACAAAACACTCTGACCAATACCAACTTGGAGAAGAAAGGGTTTATTTGGTTTATATCTCCCAGGTCACAGTTCATCACTGAGGGAGCCTGAGGTAGGAACTCAGGGCAGGAGCCTGGAGGCAGGAGCTCAAGCACAGGTCATGAAGGAATGCTGCTCATGACTTGCTCATGGACCCTGCTTAACCTACTTTCTTATACAACATAGGCCCACCTGCACAGTGAGTTGGGCCCTCCCACATCACTCAATAATCAAGAAGACACCCCACAGACATGGCCACAGGCCAGTCCAATGGAAACAATTCACCACTGAGGCTCCCTCTACCCAAGGATGTCAGGTTGACAACTAAAGCAATGGAGGGGGGGGATTCAGGCAGAGCAGGTTAGGGAAGAACGCTGAAAGAGGGTTTTGGAGCTCACATGGTAAATTTTAGCACTTGGGAGGCTGAGGCAGGATTGCCACTGCTTCAAGGCCAACCTGTGCTACACAGACTTACAGGTCAGCCTGGGCTACAGAGTAAGATCCTGTCAATACAGGTGGGGAGGGGTAAAAGAAACTATTGACATGAGAGAAAGCCTTCCAGGCAAACTTATGCATATGTTTGAATTCTAAATTTTTCATAAGAATACTTTCTTTTTTTTTAAATATTTTATTATTTTTTATTTTATGTGTATGAGTGTTATGCCTACATGCAGGTAAGTGCACCCATGTCGTGCAATGCTTGAAGAGGACAGAAGAGGCTGTCAGATCCTCTAGAACTGGAGTTACGAACAGTTGTTAGTTGCCACGTGGGTGCTTGGATTCGAACCCGGGTCTTCTACAAGAACACTCAGTGTTCTTAACCACTGAGCCATCTCTCCAGCCCAAGAATACTTTACTTTCAATCCATAAATATTGCTCTGTATCTGCTTTTTGCTCACAAATAGAATGGACGGCTTCTCCCACTAACATATACAAAGCTACTGAGGCAGTCTTCTGGTTGAGGTTTCCCCATGCTGGAGATAGAATCCACACTAAGCAAGAGCTCTGTCACTGAGCTATATACCCGAGCCCTACCTGGAGTCATTAAGGTCCACATTCTATACCATTCTTGGATATACCATCATTGGTTCAATCCAATAAGCACTCCCATAATCCCATGTCAAATGGAGTTTGTTTTTGAGACAGGCTCCTGCTATGAATCACAGGCTTCTATACATTATATAGTCCAGGCTGCCCTTGGCAATTCTCCTGCCTCTGTCTCCCAAAGGATAGGACTGCAAGTGTGCAGCACCACAGCCAGTATCAAATATTTTGTTTGGATAGTTTTTGGTTTCTAAAGAAAACCTAGTATATAATGGTATAAGATCACTCCAGAAAACATATCTTAAGTCACATTCCTGATTATTCTCTGAAAATAAATTTGTGAGCCAGTAAAATGGCTTAGTGGGTAAAGGTACCTGCCACCAAGAGTAATGACCTAAGTTCCATCCCAGGGACCCATAAGTGGAGGGAGAGAATGGACTCCCACAAGTAGTCCTCTGACTTCCATATGCCCATCATGGCATTTATACACACACACAGTCACACACACACACACACACACACACACACACACACACACAAATCAATCAATCAATGTAAAAAAAAGTTTATATTGTGGGGACTGGAGAGATAGCTCAGTGGTTAAGAGCACTGGCTGCTCTTGCAGAGGAATTAAGTTCAGTTCCTAGCCCCCACATCACCACTAACAACCGTCTTTAACTCCAGTTCTGGGAAGCTGACACAGTCTTTTTACCTCCAGAGGCATTGTATACACATGGTGCACATAAATGCATTCAGACAAAACACTTTAAAAAGCATATTGTCTGCTGAGCATAGTGGTCGAACACCTTTAATTCCAGCATTCATCCCAACACTTGGGAAGCAGACGTAGGCAGATTGCTCTAAGATTGAAGTCAACCTGGTCTACATAGGGAGGTCAGCTGGGGCTACAGGAAGACCCTGTCTCAAAAAAAAAAGGCAGGGCTTTTGGACTCAGCCGCAGACATACTGCTTTCTGTAAATCTGCCTGCTTTTCTGAATTCTCCAGAAAAATATATTCTCTCCTTTCCTTCTGTATTTTATTATTTTTATTTTACATGTATGAGTGTATTGCATGCATGTATGCAAGTGTACCTGTGCTGTGCAATGCCCAAGGAAGAGGGTGTCAGATTCCCCTGGAACTGGAGGAACAGATAGTTGTTAGCTGCCATGTGGGTGCTGGGAATCGAACCCAGGTTCTCTGCAAGAGCAGCCAGTGCTCCTAACCGCTGAGCCATCTCTCCAGCCCCTTCATATCCATTTTTCTCTAATGCTTTGAGCTGCCCCAGCACCTTGTATTTCTTATTTTTGCTCTGAAGCTTCCTTCTTCCCACCATGTGGCTGCCAGTCCACCATGTGTCTGACCTCTGTGCAGGCTCTAAACTTGCATGCTTCATGGCTTTTTTTTCCTTCTCCTTGCCATAATCCTCCTCAAGGCAGCTTCTGAGATTTGCAGCTGCCTGCCCTGAGGATTTTTCTTTAAATTCTAATAAAATTGTCCTAAAACTTAAAAAAAGAAAGAAAGAAAGGCAGGAAGGAGGAAGAAAAGAAGGAAACAAAGGCCAAACTCAAGAATGGCCACAATTGTGTCTGAGTGATGATATTTCTGCCTCAATTTACATAAAACAAATGTAATATGGGTTTTGTTGTTGTTGTTCTTGCTTTTTTGTTTTTAATTTTTTATTTTATATTTGTATTTTATGTGTATAAGTGTTTTGCCTGCATGTAAGTGCAGTATGTGCATGCAATACCCGTAGAGGCCAGAAGAGGGCATCAGATCCCCTTGGAACTGGAGTTACAGATGGTTCTTAGCTGTCATGTGGGTGCTGGGAACCAAAGCCAGGTCCTCTGCAAGAGCAGCAAGTGCTCTTAACTGACATCTTTCTAGTCCCTGTTTGTTTTGTTTGTTGATTATGGGGTAAGACTGGTCTCCAACTGGCAATGTTGCAGAAGCTGGCCTTTAACTGATCCTCCTGTATCCACCTCCAGAGTTCTGGGATTACTAGCATGTACTAAAAGTAATGTTACTTTTTCTGTTTCTTTGCTTGCTTGCTCCAGGATCTCATTTTGTAGCCCAGGCTGGCCTCAAATTTATCATCCCCCTGCCTCAGTCTTCCAAACACTGGCATTACAGGTGGGTACCACTATGACCAGCTAGTAAATGCACACTTTGATATATGAGTCACACACTTTTTCTAGTTTGCC